AACTGGATTGCTAACGAGATAGACATATTTACGTGTTCTCTGAGTGAATTCACAAAAGTTGCTTTATTTATTTGTAGTTATAAGTTGTATAAGAATTAATAGATAAGTAGATATTAAAATTATACGTCATTGTCTTGGACTGTCGCATTGGGTGCATACCTGTAATGATAGTTTTTAAGTTTTGGTGAAAATAAATAAATAAATAAATAAATTTTGTCTTCTTGGCTTATAATATTGCTAAGGTCATAATAATTTTCGTCCCTTTGTTTTCAAAATCGATCAGAATGGAGAACAATGTTTCCTAACGTATGCATAACTAAATGTTAAATTAGGCTAAAGAAATGTTCGAAACAAAATGTTCGAAATTCAAACAAACAAGATGGCCGCCATACAAATTTCGAAGCCTTCTATCACGGAAACTATTAGAGATAGGTAAGAGTTGCTGGAAGGAATGTCATAGAGGGTAATAGTGGTCAACTGCCTGTGTAAAAAAATTCACGATGGCTAATCCAAAATGGCAGCCGAAGAAAACTTGCTTCGATGCGGCTTCAATATTGGCATGTGGGGGTCTTTAGAAGACCTCAATCATACTTTGGGGTCAAACGTTTTTTTTCGCCATTTTTGAATATGGCTGCCATGTAAGTGTTTTTTTCGTTAAAAGTAGCTACCGAAAGAGACTCCCTCTGTTTCTGCTGAAAATTGGCACGTGGAGGCCTCTAGAAGTGCCAGATAATAATTTGTACTCGATATTGGTTTTTCGCCATTTTCAAATATAGCCGCCATACAAGCGTTTGTTGGAACTAGAAAAAAAATTGTTCTGATCCCTTTGAAAATTGTCATGTGGTGGTTTCTAGGAGGCCTTGATAATAATTTGTGATCAACATTAGTTTATCGCCATTTTTCAATATGGCTGCCATAGAAGTGTTTTTTGGCGGCAGATGAAAATTTGCTCTAGAAAATTTGAAAATTTGAACTATAGCAAATCTCTATCAGTGTTTAATAATAGTTTGCGGTCAAAATTTATTTTTCGCCATTTTTCAATACGTCTGCCATAAAAATTTTTTGGCGGCAGACAGTAATTTGCTATAATTCAGCTGAAAATCGGCATGTGGGGATCTCTTTGGTTGTTTAATAATAATTTGTGATTAAAATTTGCTTTTAGTCATTTTTCAACGTGGTTGCCTTACAAACTTTTTTAGCGGTTGATAAAAATTTGCTCTAATTCTCCTAAAAATAGGCATGTACCCCACATGCCTTTTACTTTTTGCCATTTGTCAATATGGCCGCCAGTTCATTTTTTTAAAGTCATATGTGCCGAGACCGTAGTAGGCCGAGGTCTAGCGGAGGGAGAAGCCCGAAGCGTCCGCACGCCACCTTACGTAAGTAGTATACGGAGACCGTAATACGAGTACAAGATTTCACAATTGTTCAAAACGTAAGGCATACTTCCCGATGTAGTGGATATAAGATACTTATAGCGTTGTTGTATCTCGACCATCTCTCTGTTAGATTCTTTTTTCTTGGAAGCTATGCTAAAAAGAGAAGTAGGTATTTAGGAAAAAATGCCAGACAATCACTCCAAATTTCTGATCTCAAACTAGGGAATTTTACTGTACTATAAGTACCAGAGTAACGATAATTCTGAGGGCAATACTCACTATACCCTGACCAGAACAAATTAAATTTTTTTTTTTTCATAAATTGGCTCAAATCAGGGATCGAATCTGGAACCTCCTCATAACACACCCATAGTACCAACCACTGTGCCACCGAAGAGCATAAGTACACCCCGTAATCTGAACCCGACCACGCGCCGCAGGCCAAGCCCGACCCCACCGTAGGTTGGGTACAGGGCTCGTATTATCACAAAGGCGCTCTTTTTAGCTCTGAATCATAATTCTATTGTCTATGGTACTCAGTATCATTAGTTCTGTACACAGAACCAGAACTATGAGTTTCAACAAAAGAACGTCGTATTTTCGCTAATTATAATAGTCTCCTTAAACGCATCACAGGTTCCTGAACAATATTTGTTAAATTACTAAAATTCATTTTTTTTACTAACGCACACATTCATAGCCCCGCACTAGGACAACCCTGTGTCGCGGATGCTGTGAATACACACGTAGACGACCACACGTTACACCCAAACTCGTAGGCCATATAAATATTTCTCCCGAACCGGAAATCGAACCCGGGACCTCTGCGTGGCAGTCCAGCATTGTAAGCGTTCGGTCACGGAGACAGTTAAAATTATTTTATTCAATAATATCTCCAAATGTTGCTTATCTTATCTATATACAGACAAATCTATTCTATCTCTTTGTTTTTTTTGTTTTGTAGCGTTTGTTTGGCTTTCATAAGTCAATGCTTTCATTGGAATTTGTTGTCGTGGATTGTTACCGATAATATTTAAATTGGTTGTGTGTCATTAGAAAATTGACACGCAGAAAAAGTAGTATTCATTCAAGCACTGGAAATACGACCCTAATGGCAGGGACTTGAGTATGATTTCGAGTGCTTTAAACCATACTCAAATCCTGACTGAGCATTGAGTAGAGTTCTAGAATATAACCCTGAGTGGCCTTAACACGGCACTCGGCCTTATGAACCCTTAATCAATATGCAACGATTGCATAATACTGCTGTGTCAGACGTATATCTGTTAACTTAAGATACATGAGATACGGGTAACAACTCTGAATAGTATTTTTTCTACCTACTGCATCCACCCATCAAACATTTATTTGAATATTGTCCACCAGTTCTTCGATTCGATTTCGAACTTCGATTTTGCCATAGTCAATTATGGCTAAATACTGCATCTAAAGTTAAAATATATGAGCGCGACAAGTTTCGCACCCGACGAGCAAAATGTATCTCAGTTAACTAAAGTTACATGAGTTAGCCGTGACTGAGTTTGTATGAAGATTTGGAAGACCTCACTCTCACTTGATGAAAAATAACGATGAGGTCGTCGATGAAGCATGAACACCGTGAAAAGGCTGTATGCCAGAACTCTGCTCAATGCTCAAGTCAGGACTTGAGTATGATTTCAGGCACTGTTAACACGACCCTATGGCAAGGACTTGAGCATGACTTCTAGCGCTTTAAGTCCTGACTTGAGCATTGAGTAGAGTTCTGGAATACGACCCTAAGTCTGCAAGCATAGAATTCTACTTCATAGCCATTTGCCATAAAAATGTAGAAGTATAACGCTTCGTTTCGCTAACTACATGGGGGTGGAATTCAGCCTACGTCTATTCCCCTGATGATGGAAAGGGGGAGGCGGAATTAAATTATGCCATTCCATCAGATTGTCTTCGTGATGTATCTTGTAGAACCCCGATAAGTTCTGCAGCTTGTCCTCTACTAAACTGAGTCACCCACAAACTTCTTCACAGTGACATATAGGTAAGCCTCTTCACACGCTTTTCAATAAATCCAAGTTGGCCAGTTGGTATTTAGCAGAACCATCTCACAGGTGGCAGCAGTGTTCATTACGCGACCGAACTTGTCCTTGGTACAGCTGACTCAACTGGCGCGGTGGGTGCTCACCTAAGGCACTAGCCTCTTGGGAACCGGATGAAATCGGTTACAATCTATGACAACACTGTACACTGGCTAATCTCGGGTCAGAACCTGAACTTAGAAGGTTGCTGTGTACGCACAGTTTACAGTGCCCTTCTCGTATACCTACTTTAAAGATAGGTACAGAGGGTCATTATAATTAAAAGTAATGTAGAAAGATGGGGTTGTCCCTATCTACTGACCCGAGAGATAAGGGGTTCTACAACGGGCGTCCGGGCCAAATCCACCGCCAGTGACACGTAGTTACCCGTATTGTTGAAAGCTATGTCCGGACATTGTCACAAGACACTGCCACCGACTTCTCCGGCACCAGCCCGGAGAGCTAGTAGAGGATGAGCTAGACATTTCTCCGGTCCTCCAGCCGCGTTCCTACTTCCTGTTTTTTTTCCGAGATCTTTCTTGGAAAAAAAAACAGCTCCGCCACCAAGTGGATACTTGGTAGTGGACTTTAGAGTCAACGGCTTAGCGGTGGTAACCGTTAATTGTGCAATGCACAACGGGAAGTAAGCGTGCCTACATCTCCGGTAGCTTTCTGGAAAATAGGGAACGCACTGTCTCCCGGGGCAGATCACCCGAGGCTCTAGCCTCTTGAGAACCGGATGAAGTCACTGACAACAGTCTGTGACAACCCTGTACACGGGCTGATCTGGGATTAGGACCTGAACTGATAAGATCCCTGTGCATGCACAGGTTGTAGTGTCCTTCCTGCATAACCAAAAGATTAATAGGGAACCCTCACTATAATCTAAATAAAATAAACACATGTTGAAGATACGGGACTGTCCCAGTGTGAAGAAACGCCTCATCCTGGAAAGGATGACATGCCTCGCTGCATTTTCTGCTATGGATTCTATGCATCTATAGAAAAAGTAAGCCATTTTGCGTTAAACGTGTTGAGCGTAAGTCCTGTATCTTAAGATACATAACGTCGATTTATTTCATTTGTATGGAGAGCTTGTTACGCCGAACTATGTTATCAACAATAAATTGAAAATTTTATAAAATTCAATTTATTCTTACAAAATGAACAATGAACAGAAATGCATCAACTTGTACTAGACAGCTGTTTATCACAGCTTAAAAAGTGTATAAACAATGAACCGTTGATTCAACAAACACACAACAAACGTTTACCTTAATCAACTTAAAAAACTAAATTATGCTAATAATTATAATCGAAGTTAAGAGAAATAACGATTTTATGTTTCTGATCATGTTTGATTTTTACTATAAATATGGATAAGCATAAAATCAGTATGCTAGATGAGTTGAAGCATAAAAAATGTTTTGGGATATAAATTGCCTATAAGAATTTACAAGACTTCGGCGCGAAGTCGGCCGTTGCGGTGCCAATCTACGACTACGAACAAACTACTATCTTTTTAATAGAAACAGGTTCTAAAAGAATCGAGATGGAAGCGTTTCCGTGGTGGAACAGGCGTGACGTCCAGATCTTAAGATTGTATTGAACAATATGAAATGTAGTTGACGGATCCCACACGACGCCGCGAAATAAAGCCACCGAGCTTTATACGAAAAATATCTCGTCACAAGATTCATCATCCGTGTGAAGCAATTAATACGAGGACTGCAAGGATTGCTGTAGCCCGTTCGCACTCAGGTTGATGTACGCGGGTACAAGTGGCGGTTCAGGGTTATCAGTCAAATCTGACTGCACCTGCACTAGGAAAGACCTCAACGCACTCAAGGCGGCAAAATATTATTCACTACTATTTAATTTTCCACAGGACGCATCGTGTTGCCGCAGTTCCGCGGCAGCGTGACGATAGGTGTTTTGCCTACACAGTTCTGTATATGAAAGGTAAAGAACCTTAAGTGTCAAATAGTAATTTTTACTAGAGTATTTTAAAGAGAGGCTCTTAATTAGGCATTTAAAATCAATTAAGGTCTTGTAAATAATGTTAAATAAAAAGCAAACGACGATAGAACATAACGTATTTTACCATTGCGTGATTTTTAGGCGCCGTGCAAACATGCGTCTTGTGTTGGATAATAGCAACCGGCAACTATAATAGAAGCCAACATTCTGTTTTCATACAACAGACATGAAATCGACACAGTCGCCGGTTGCGGCGGACAATGTCGTTTGCATACGGACATGCACGATTTTTTAAAAATCGTAATATGCTTTTGAATCGATCTCACAAAAATTGTTTCAAAATTAATTATGATAAAAATAAATTGACAGCCTTTTCTCAGTCAGTTACGACTTTCATTAAGCCAGTGCGAAAAGACGTTCAGATTGTATCGATCGATCGAGTAGCAACAATCGCCAAATATCGTAGATTTATTGTGCTTACGTGTTGCCAAACTACTTTTCTTGCAGACCAATATAAAATAGGATTAGCGTTACGATTCAGTAGGGATTCAGAAAGAGACTCTTTTGTTTAAAATATGAATATGATCTAGCTACACTATTCGATTCGCCTTAATGTTGAATCGATACAAAAAATCGCCAGATCGTATACATTTGAATCGATCTTCATAACCGCAATATGTACGTAAATAAAGTATTCGCTTCTAGTTGCGGGTTGCTTGTATCCAACACATGTTTGCACGGTGCTTTGGCATTCTAAAGTCATGTTTGTAAAAACGTCTAAATTCCAAAATATGGACTCAGTCCTTTATCTGCCACCTACAGTGTTTCATTCTTATATGGCAGAACAGGTGGACTTATATAAGTCGTCGTAGGTTTAAACACTTTTTTAAGTCGTAATTGCATAGTATTATATCCTGTATTTGAAATCTCAAAAAAATTACTTTGGTGGTGACCGACCATTTACAACAGTTGGTAGATCTTTCCAAGACTTCGTCTTGGGCTTGGTGGTCAGTTTCTTTTTTACCACTCGTTTCACTGTTACTTCTTCGGCGGCTAATAACTTCCTTTTCGGTTTCACTTTCTTCTCTTCAATGACGAACGAATCTTCGAATATGTCTCCACTCGAATTCACGGATTCCTGACTTGTGTCCTTAGTTCTTTTAGGAGGTTTTTTCTCACCGATAATCTCGCAAATAGGGCTGTCAAAGGACACCTTTCTTGGACTCCTTCTAATCTTCTCTAACGACGTCTGCGTAGCAGTATTAGCATATTTTTTTTTCACTGGTGGTGTTGCTTTTGGTGTTAATTTTGTCTTTTTAATTTTGATTACAAGTGATGGTTCTGAGGATTTTCTTTTATTTCCTTTTGTTTCTTGTATGCTGTTCTCCGGAGTTTCATTTTCGCAGTTGTCACTATCTATAGGCTGATCTTTTAGTACTGGTTTTCTGCCTCTTCTTGCTTTTGGTACACCATTCTGAGCCATTTTCTTTGAGTGTACTGTACTGTCTTGAGTATCTTCTGTAACTTTGGTATCAGCACTGGCTTTAACTTTGCCCTTCTTGCCTGCTTTGAATTCCAGTTTGCTATTGCGAGTCTTTCCCTCAGTTTTGAGGTAGTTCTCGAACAGTGTTCGGCATTTTGTGTAATCAGGTACGTCTTTTGGCTTCATTGAGTTTATGTACTCAAAGAATTTTATCAGTGCATCTGAAAAACCATGTCATTTTTAACACAGAAACCAACTGTAAAAGCATAAGCCAATTGCGATGTAAGCACATCGAGAAAACAAACACGCATATTAATCATCAGTAACTTACCGGGAACGTGACTGTACTGCTTAGTAATGTTGCTTCGTACATTCTTCATGAAGGCTTCCTTCATGTCCTGGACGGCCTTGGGTTGTTTCAGGTTTTTCTCCCAGGGCAGTTCTCCCACCAGCCACTGCAACATGTTATAGCCGAGGATCTCGAGGTCGCCGCGCATCGTCGCCACTGAAAATAAATTGATTACACTTTAAAATGTTATCATGGCCCACAAGAAAATTAGGAAACATAAAATAATACACATTCACCATTTTCGTACATACAAGCAGGTACAGAAGAAAAACATCTACGAGAGCAATGCTTTTATTAAAAACAGAAGTAATCATAAAATGAATTAATGTAACTGGCCCCTAACTTTGCAATTAAATTGTTTAGTGTTACCTATCACGGACCAGCAGCTTGATTTTGATTGCCTTTCCCTTATCGGAAACTGCGTTTTTTCCGAGTCGAGGAGTATAATATTGCGGATGGCTACCCGATCGGATCCATTCCGATTTTAATTAAAATCAGGGCCTAGTAACTCTAAAGTACTGCTGATCGCCATACTACAGATTGTAACTCTGACAAAGGTCAAAATTTATCGTGAAATTTTAAATAATATTTCAGGACACTACACTCGAATATTAAGTTATACTTCGCGATAATATTTAATCATTCTAGAAGATTTAAATCAGGAAGAGAAACTAACCTGAAAATTTCCCTAACTTGTCAGCATTTTTGACATAAAATATATGCTTATAAAAGCATTTGTTGCTTATAAAAGTTACCTCCAAGATGGGCATCTCGACTGGTATACTCAATAGTTCCGTTATGTGCACATTTTGGATCTGGCTTGAACTCCTTGTCCGTGACGCGCGTCGCTAGACCGAAGTCGACCAAGTATGCTTGATTCTCTGTGCCTTTCTTCAGTCCAAGCAGAATGTTGGCGCCTTTGATATCAGCATGCACGTAACCACGGCTATGGATGTATTCAAGGACGTCGATCTGAAATTTGCAACAATACGTACAACATTTCATTACGCAATTTGTTAAAATATATATTTTAGAACGCCTTGTGAGAGTCCAGGGAAGTACTGCCACCTGACCTATTTCTTACTGCTTTACGGCTTTGAAGGTTAAGGGTGCTGGTGAAATTACAGGGTGACGGGCGCAGTGGCAGTGCCCTCTCAAATCTTTGCGATTTAAAGCTCTGAGTGGCACTGCAACTGTTATGGACAGGTATGTAGTTAAGCATCAGGCGCATGACTTGTTCGTTCCATCACTAGATATTATTAAAAAAAATACATACACACATAAGCACGATTGTATAGGTTATTATCTTAATGACTTTTGGTATCTTTTTTACAAAAAAGAAAATAATCCGAGGTTTATGTAAAATTATAGCACATTTTTTGAATGATTAGCGCACAGTTATCACTTATCAGTGAAAAACCGTAAAGATTTGTTAAGTCACTCAATTTAACAAACACCCATTAAGTTTACTGCATTTTGCTTGGATAGAGAATAATCTCTACTGACTGGTATAATACCAGTTACTGCCTCAGTGGCCGAATATTGGACTGCCACACAGAGGTTCGATTCGTAAGTATTTCTCCTGAGTTTGGTTATAATTTGTGGTTGTCTATGTGTGTGTCCATGGCACTCGCGATACAGGGTCTTCCTAGTGCGGGGTTACTAGTGCGTCTATTAAAAAATACTATAATTAAAGAAATAATAAATAATGTTTCAACTACGAGTACATGTGTCTCACTCAGTACCTTAGCACTGAGGTGACAATTTCATATGACCATATGGTCACTAACAATCTTACCATCTGCAGTCCAAGTTGAAAGACAGTAGTTGTTGGGAATATCCGTCCGCAATCCTTGAATAAACTCCACAAGTCTTTACCGTACCTTTCCAGCACCAGGTACCGATATTTCTCACCATTGTACTCATGTGAACCATTACCAAAGTATGTGGGCATGCCCAGACTTGAAAGCTTCTTCTCCTTTATATATTTTGCAACTGGAAATTTAAAACAATTGGTATTAAATCTTGTTCTTGATAACAAGTTTTTTATTAGAGATAGGCTCATGTCTGTATATAAATTCATCTGTTAGAAAGTCTGAGTGGGTGGGGATGTTATTACCATTGCAAACTTAGTTTTTTAAGAATTGACACTGAGTTTGAAATGTTTGAAAATGTATTGTATATAAATGCATAACTGGCACTTTAAGTACACACATGACAAGAAGAGTAGAGTAGGTAACAGACATCGAGTATATAACCAGAAATAGAGACGAAATAAGCGCCATATATTCCTGGTAACACATTATCGATACAGTTCTTATAAATATCAACTCTCGTTTGCACTGAAATATAGACAGGCCAACTACTGACCTGTGTGTACGTCTCCGTACATTCCAAAAAATATTCTGTATTTATTCTAATAAAGATAATATCTCTAACAATGCCGTGCTGTTCTATTCGGTGGTGTGGGAAAAACAGCAAAACATCTAATTACAAAACAAACGGAATCCCATTTCATCGGTAATTAAATATTAAATATGTAATTTTGCAATTTTCATCCATTATAGCAAAGCTCAAGTTAACTGGTCGTTTTGAAGTGACAGTCGACGACACCCATTGACGACACCCGTCTATTGTTTCGAACTCGGGCTAGCCAATCGGAGCGCAGTTGTCACAGTAATGATATGGCAGAATAGTTTTCAAACAAATTAAATGACATTTCGTCTCTATTTCTGGTTATATACTCGATGGTAACAGGTTAAGAAGCAGTAGAATTCCTTGTGAAAGAATTCGTCCAGAAAAGTACTGCCTCCTTACCTATTTCTGCCACCAATGTCAGCTTTACTGTTAATGTAAGTTACAGGCACATGGGACTTGTCAACCTATGTCTCGGGGTAAAGGGTGCAGTGGCAGTGCCCCTCAGATCTTTGCGATTTAAAGCTCTGAGCGGCACTGCAGCTGTTATGGACAGACGTGTAGCTTATCTCCAGGTGTATGACTTATTCGTCCCTTCACTTTGTATCGTAAAAACGTTTGGCCCATTTTCTGTCCTTGATGTCTCTGTAGTTTTTCTGGTGACATATGGTACATAAAATTCGCTAGTTTGACACCAAGAATATACTTACTGTCATCCTTGTTAGCATTTCTGATGTAGAAGTGTTTTTCAACAAAGAGAGGTCCATTTTCATGTGGTTCCTACAAATAAAAAACAACAGTATTGGTACACACTTAATGTTAAATATTAGCTAATTGTATTAGTACTAATTACAATGATTACTTTAATATGTGTTATTAGTAAATGTCGTGGAATATTCCTAGTAACATGAGTTTATATTAAGTTTTTTAATTTTATTTTTAGTGTAATATCTCATAAGACTACTACTACTCTTTGCCAAGAAGGAGGGCAAACAGTATTTTTGTCTGTGTTGGAGATAAGTTCAGCATCTACATCGGATTTCCCTTTAAATCAAGTAAAACGTAAGCACAATTTGTTTTTATCACCTTCCTTCAGACAGTCAAAATTGAGGGCAGATTGAAAAGTTGGGGTGGCAGGTTAAGTTATGACCTAAGCGTACAAGTCAAGTAGAGCATGCTACAAGAACTGTAGAGCTCTTTGTGAGAGTTTGTCCAGGGAAGTACTGCCACCTTAACTATTTCTGCCCCCAAAGCAGTAGTGTGAGCATTACTATATTCTGGTTTCAAAGGGTAAGGAAGCTGGTGAAATTACAGGCACATGGGACTTGTCAACTTATGTCTCAGGGTGTCAGATGCATTGGCAGTGCCCCTCAGATCTTTGTGATTTAAAGCTCTGAGTGGTACTGCAACTGTCATGGAGAGGAGTGTCGCTTACCATCAACTTATATGCCGTTACTTAGTTGTTATAATGAAAAAAGCAGCCTGTGAGTGCAAAAACTGAATTTAAGACATTTCTGAACATTATAATAATCTTTTTTGGTCCTGATATCATAGTGCCCGCTACTGTACCATTTGATTATTTAAAGGGTTTGTTTATATTTGTGTTACGTTACCTGAATGCCATAGAGTATAGAACTAACAAATACAGTTAGTTTAAAAAAACATATACACAAAATTGCAGAATTTTTAGGCATTCAATGTCACAGGTATTAGCAAACTGCACTGTGTACCTTACGAATAGAGCACAAAAACGTACAACGCACTACAGTAAAATAATAAGGATAAATCTTTTAAGCAAAAAAATTGCGGTGTGGAATGAATCGCAGAGTCGGTAATGATGGGTGTAGCATTTTATTTTTATTTTGTTTTAATTGTTTATTTAACTATACATATACACTTATTGTTTAAGTTCATGTTTTTTTTTTTTTTATTTAGGCTGCTTTTTTTTTTTTTCTTCTAAGTTATTTTAATTTGTATCCTTTATGAGGACACGTAGTATTTATTGTAGTTATTATGATGGATTGGTAGATTTATATGAAGCGCTAAGTGTTAGTGCAGAGTTTCTTCTTATTATTTTATTTCCCTTTATTATTGTTAAAAACGCACTTATGTGTTAGTCGATGCGACACAATCTGTTTACTTTACGACCAATTTTTTCGTGTAATCCAGAAAATCTATAATTGGCCTTAACACTGACTAGCATTAAGTACATTTGAATTGTAACAGGCTGTTGATTTTCTTAAATAAATAAATAAATAAATAAAAGCTCATGCATATTGCACTGATTAAAAGTCTTTATTGCACAAAAACAACTCTTAATCGTGTATGTCCTTATAATTACCAGTGATAGTATTAAAGCGTACACACTTACAATTTTGATAACAAAAGGATATCCGCTTCCTTGTTTAGGCGAACTCTCGTGATCACACGCGGAATATATTTCGCCGAAGCCACCGACGCCTATTGAAGGGCCTATCCGCCACTTCTTCTTCATCATAATATCGTTAATAACTTCTCCATTACGTATGGGAGCAGGCATTTTGTACCCATTCGCTTTTTTTCGCGGCGCCGCCGCTGCCTTCTTGCCTCGTCCTGTCATTGCTATTTATTAACACAAAATTACTCTCACTATCGTAAGTTCTTTACCGATAATACTAATCTTTACATTTAATTTCTCAATGTGTTTATGATTTACAAGTTGACAATTATTTCACACAACAAAAATAGCGTCCATCCAATCTCACTTCATTAGACTGCTAAATAACGCTTCAATTTGACACTAATGACAGTTAACTGACGTACGCGTACGTCCTTTTTTTTTTTCCATGCTTGACGTACGCTACAGAATAGCGTCATTTTCCAGTTTTATAGGGAGGTGATCTTTATTTTATCCCGGTGAAAAATCCGAAAACGGTAAAGCGAATAACAAAAAGAATTATATAATAATAATAATATATGTTCGTTATGTAATTCGCATTACATGTATTTCCGTGGATCAACATCATCGAGTGTTGGTCATAAAGAAATGTGTGGGGGTTGATGTTGCTCGCTTCCGGAGGTGTACCCTCAAGACCCTACCCTACAAGTGACCCCTGGGTGGTGCTAAAGAGCGACAACTACTGGTGGTAGGCTCGGCCGTGTCACCACGGTTTTTGCCGTGTTCCGACTCGTGTTGCCATTAGGAGGTCCTGTCTGAACAGCAGCATTGCGTCTGACGACGAGTTGCAGCTGCTTGTACTGCCACACTGAGCACTCGGTTCTGGAGGCTAGCGGGATCCGAAGCATGGTGCACTGCTAGCCGACCGTGGGAAGTTGGGGGCCCAAGTAGAGGGAAAGCCATTCCAAGCTGCCCCGCCACCCAGCGAAAAATCCCGGAATGCTCCACCTTGCCGGTTGGAGACCTGAAGTGTCCTCACTTGACAAAGGGGCCATCTCCGGGGGGTTGTCCAAACCGATTTACCCTTGTATGATAGTGTGAGCTTGCTGCTTGGTTGAACTCCAACTGCCTTCCTCCTACCTTTTCGTTTCACCTAAAATTATTAAATGTCACAGAAAAGGAATAAAATTTTCACAGCGATTGCACGTCCTCCCATTGAAAGTGCACCTCACCAACATCAGAGAGCTGCACTCAAATCTCGATTCGGTCCAATACCACCTTGAACCCGACAAACCGCAGCTGCTGTTCCTCACCGAGACGCAGATCAGGGGGTCTACTCTCGATCTCCGTCCGAAACAATTACTGTCAAATAAGTAATATTCGACCAAATTAAAAGACAGGTATCAAGTATGAAGCTTCATTCGCATCAAGCGTCTTTTCATTTGGTCCAGTATCGCTTATTTGACAGCAATTGTTTCGGACGAATGTCGGACGAAGATCGAAAGTAGACCCCCAGATGTCCGACTGACGTGAACGTACCTCAGCTACCCCGGGTATAATCTGGAGCACAGGTTCGTACCTTGTACCGGAGTCTATGGTGTGTACGTTCGCGTTGACATCTGTGTTCTGCTCTGTCTATCGCTCGTACAGTGGAGATCAGGAGACAACCAAGTTCTTCCAACATCTGAGACGTCTGATGAGGCTCAGCTTAGGTATCCAGTAGCGCAACTATTCATTCTGGGGGACTTTAATGCTCACTATCAAGAATGGTTGTTCCCATACCAGATGACCGATCACGCTGGGAGAGAGACGCGTAAAGTTACGTTAACGCTAAGCCTTTACCAGATTGTCAGTGGCCCCGACAGATTCCCTAACGTTGAGTCTCAAACGGCAAATTGCTTCGACCTTCTGTTAACAACTGATCCTGTGATCTCTGTGGTTGTGGATGCCCCACTGGGTACTTCCACTATTCTCTGGTGAAAACTGTACTCGTACTCCCCACTCGATCAGGACCCTAGTGTTATGAGACGGATGTGGCGAAACAGGTTAGCAGATTGAGATGAAATGCGCCACTTCTTTGCGCCATATCCCTGAGAGGCGTGCTTTATTTCAGGAGACTCATCGAGCTGTGATGATGTAGTCGAGGTCTTGCGTTTGGGTATAATATAAAGTATTACATACCATACTTTGATGTACCAAATGAACCCCAAGCTCATCCATGGTTTAACGCTGACTGTAGCTGTGCTGAAGCACAAAAACAATCCGCGTGTCAAGCTTGGGTAGATGCTCGACTGCGCAGAGTACTCAGAACTGGAAGAAAGCGTTTAATAAGGCCTCCAAAAAGTGCAAAAGTGTGTTACGTAGGGCCAACTTCGACCATGTGCGCCGCATAGGGGCCAAGCTTGCCTCTTATCCAGCAGGTAGCAAATCCTTTTGGTTCCTGGCCAAAGCGGTTAAAACTAACTTTTGTCGCCTATCTTTGCCACCTCTGCTGAAGCCAGATGGCACGCTGTCCCATACTGCAGAAGACAAAGCGAATCTTTTTGCCTCCCTCTCTGCAGAGAGTTTGCGTCTGGAACCTTACCTCAGGCTGGCTGCACTAGTTCGCATACGGCAAAAAGAGGTACTTAAAACTCTGCGGAATCTACACGCGAATAAAGCTATCGGGTCAGATGGAATTCCAGCAATAGTCCTAAATAACTGTGCGCCTGAGTTGTCTCCTATTCTCATGCGCCTGTGCCGTCTCTCACTTGAGACTGGTGTAGTTCCCAGGTCGTGGAAGCTCGCGAACGACCCTGTCAACTATAGGCCTATCTCAGTCACTTCCATACTCTGCAAGACTATGGAACGTATACTCAACAACCGTCTCCTGTCGTACCTTGAAGACAACAACCTCCTCAGTGATCGCCAGTACGGATTCCGACGAGGGCGATGTACTGGGGATCTTCTTGTGTATGCCTGTCACATTTGGAGCGGGGCTATAGAAAAGAAAGGCTAAGCACCTGCAGTGTCTTTGGACATTTCTAAAGCCGTTGACAGGGTCTGACACGCAAGCCTTTTAAGTAAGCCAGTCTCCGATTGGGGCGATGCCAATCTTGTCAAATTTAACGCTACCAAAACTCAGGCATGTCTGTTCTCTATAAAACGGAGTCCCTTTCAGCTGACTCCGACTTTTCGTGATGTATCCATACCGATAGCCGACCGTCTCCAACTACTACTTGGAATGAATCTGTCGTCCAATTTGAATTTCGACGGGTACATTGAATTCATGGCCAAAAATGCAGCCAGGAAGCTTGGTATCCTTTCCAAGGCGAGGCGATAATTTAAACCTCTGAATAGCAATGCAACTGTTAGGGACAGGCGTGTAGCTTACCATCAGGCGCACGACTTGTTCCCGTGTCCCGTCACTTGATATTTCAAAGATAAAGAAAATTATAAAATTTGTTGATATGGAATTGATTTCGCTAGTGTTGTAACACCTATTGTTAGGTATTCTTGCTTTCTTGGCTCAGTGATAATACTTTAAGTCAATGCACACGGCGTATTGTATACGCGCCGCAGACGCTGTAGTGAATCGATTCAAATGAGCGCAATATGTCGCGTTGCAAGCAAGAAGCTTATTATATATTCCACTGGAGTCTAGGTACACTTAGTATTTCATGTACTTTGTTAAACGAACCTAAAATTAAAACTCTCTTATCAAAATACGCGACACATACGATTGACTACTGCGCGTCTGCGGCGCGTATACGCGCAAATGACGCCATGTTTCTAACTGGTGTCCTCGGCGCGTATAAAATACGTCGTGTGCATCGGCTCGTAGGTTCATTAACTGTCTATGAATGAGAAAAGACGTAACAATTTTTATATTACTTTTTATTAACTAACTACACTAAAATGAGCTCTGAAAAATAAATAACATGCTTTACAAAATTCTCACTAGCCTTAAATTAAAAGTTATCCTTATCATTTATATGCTTTTATCTTTTTAAATATTGAGAAATGACAGTTCATGAAGTACTCTACAAAACGATACACATAAAACTAATGAACAAATTCAACAACATATTTATAATTTCGACGTTGTTTTAAAAATTATTTACCTTAGGATAATAATCTAAGGAAAAAGAATCTTAGGATCAAAAATGTAGTATAGGTGGGTTTCTAAAAAAAACTTTACAAATTTCTACTGTATTTTTTTTTTGTTTGGCACTGGATTCTGAATTTCATTATTTTGACAAAACATTTGATCGAAAATTACTACTATCATACTCTTATGAAAATCTCAAATTTTATTCGATTTAAAAACCATTTGAGAAAATGAAGTCCGACACTTTGTTTTTGGTGGGAGAAATTATACGTTTATCACCATAGACAAAAGAAATGGGATTCTCTGCTCTAAATAATTAATAACCATGTTTGTCACTAACTGATACACTAACCATTAAAATCACTTTAAAACAAGTCTTCTTCGTCTTCATATACCGGCATAGAGTACCAGTCTCTCGCGACGTCCTCGTAAATTACTCTCTTTACGTCGTCGTCGTATTGCGGGTGGAGAATTCTCGGAGATCGAGCGCGAAACTCAAGCGGTACGTCGTAGCACTTGCAGACGCAGCATGCTGGGAATTTGAACCAGTCAGCGAATATACCTCTACATTCGTTGCGAGGGTCGTACGCGAGCAGCCGATGGAGACGATACTGTTGCTCGCACCTGAATAAAACAAAACAGCGTACTATAAATTTAACTTAAAAGTAAATGAGTTATATAGAGTACTGCAGCTTGATTTTGATTGCCTCTCCCGATCGGAAACTGCGTCTCTTTCGAGTCGAGGCAAATAATTGCCTAAATAGTTGATTTAACTCACAAATTAGAAAGATATAGTAGGAATCAGATTCATCTTTTCGCTCGGAAACCCATCTAATTTCGAGTCTCGGCTGGGCTACCCAATCGAATCTATTCCGATTTGAATTAAAAGCAGCCTGCAGCTTCTTTAACAGTGGGTTAGAAGTGGTAAATGTTCTACACTTAAGAAATTGCTATTTAGCATCAAGGCACATTTTTGTAAGTACCTTGTTTTGTAACTAGTTGGTTTCATAACATGTCATAGGATTTATCTTTACAATGCGTACAGTCAAGAGCATGTCAAGCTAGACACTTTATAAGTACTTTGGACCGTTCTTATCGTAAGCGGCATAGAGTTGGATTTAAATCTTAAGTGTCAAGCTTGACGTGCTCTTGACCTTGTACCTACAGCCTAATACATTTTGTTCCGCTGGCATTAGTTGTAAATAGGCCAAAGACTACATTTTATTTATATACTAAATCTTTATGAAACATGTACATTGTGTCAACCTCATCTAACGCACCCTGAGCGTAATTATAAAATCATCTTAATCATCCCCGAGTAACATAACCAATTAGTTTTTTAATTTAGATGGCGCTTCAATAAATAATTTTCGGCAACTTCCGTCTTAAACGCGATTATCAACCTTCACCCCTTAAACTATAGAAACCAATTTTTTCCCATCCTCTAAGCTTCACCCCGTGCGCGCGCCGTGGCGCTTGCTTAAAGTTGTCATATGTGCGTCTTTTTCCTAAATTTCGATGTGCCCCATTTTTAACATTGAACAAGTACCTATAGCGCTCTATAGTCCGATTTAGTTTATTTGACCTGGTTAAACACGAATTTAAAGAAAACGAGGAATAGATAGTCACACATAAAAATATCTTTACATGTTACGATAACTTAATCGAACAATTTCAACGCTATGCGTTTCCAATTAACTGCGCTTATTTCCTAAGCTAAGCCCGTCTAATATATTACATGAAATCACCTGCAACCCTCTCGACAGTACATCTGTTTCTTCTCATGGACGCAAGTCTCCAGGTGGATGTATTGTTCAAAGGGGTACATGTTGAGCAGAGCTAGTACCTCCCCTCGGGTACTGTTTGCCCAAAAAGGGGCTGCCATCTCCTCCTTGGACTCGCAAGCGTTTCTGAAAACATTTACAGTTTTCTCGTTTATAACTATTGCTTCAATTTTGTTATTGTCCTTAATACCGTAACAGAGCTTAGTCTTTCTAAGTGTAACTTTATTTTGTTTATGTAAAAAATGCATTAAAAGATATTTTATTTTACTTTAGTGTAATCTCTGAAGTAGATATAAACACTAATATAATACACATTGACATAAAATATCCTTTATTGCATTTTCTTCATCAATTTGATTGATTTAAACAATTTATAAAAACTTACGCTCCTCGTAACTTTATTACAGACGGCCGTACTGAGTCTTGATGTGCGGTTGGTTTTGGATGGAATTCTATCTTTTCTTCATTGACCTTGGTGTCGATCCTGTCAATCTTCACCTTTTCATGTTCAGAGAATAATAAAGTTGGAGGTAGTGTTGATGTGTCGGCATTCATAGGCTTCCACCCTGCGTCTTTGCCAGACTCTGTTGTAATGTCATCATATTGCGCATCCGTTGCAGTCGATTCTGTTGAATTAGGATTACTTTCAGTTGCTATAGTAGTAATATTTGTTTCTGTAGATGTGGTGTTTTTTGTTGTGGTACTCGTGGGTTCACTTTTTCCAGTGCCTGAAGTATTGGGATAAATGCTATTAGTCTCTATACTTTGCTTTATAACAGCCTCTAAAGTGATTACATCGGGTTCAAGATTGTTTATCTCAATATTAGCTATACTTTCCAGTTTTGTTTTGTATGATATACTTTTTTCATCGCTTAATGTTTCGTTACTTGTCACATCCGTGACATTACCAGTTTCAGTCCCGTTTACTTTATTTTTGTGAGTAGAGGTTTCAAGGGGCTTAACTTTTAACGTATCGTTGTCAACTTTTTTATTCTTTTCACTGATGGGTCTGAAATGTGGTCTGTTTTTCATGGCACGTCCATGGCTTTTTTTTGTATACATCATTTTCGTCTTGATTATATCTTCGGCAAAGTCTGTTGTTTTTTTAACGTTGTCATCGTCTTCATCTTCGATAAAATTTTCGAGTTCTGCCTTCAGCACTGATATGTGACGTTCCTCGCCGTACATTCTCCTCATGAGACCCTGTTGTAAAAAAAAACATAATAATAAACAATATTGTACCAGACAACCACAAACTTAGCAATTCCCGGTACCACAAGTCTGAACAGGAAACAATTTAGATATTTTGTAAAATGAATCTACACCGGGATCTCCTCCTCAAGCGCCCATACTAGATAGCAGGAAAAAATATTTCTTTCTAATCTTATATTGCCAAATTTGCTTTACCTGATTCTCCCTAACAAATCTTCTTATTGCATGCCATGGATAACTATTGCCAGGGGTGGTGCAATAGCTCATCTTAGACAGATCGCAAGGCGCCGCTGGCGCAATACGCGCCCTGCTCGAGCGGTAAGGCCGCGCGCACGCAGATGCGTAGTCATAGCCGACGCTCTGGCCACCTGTCCATGTCACCTACTTGCGAAAAATTTCTGATGTTATTTCGGAACATAATATTCTTACCTCCTCTCCTTCTCACATTTTTCTATTGTAAACATTCAAGATACATAACCACAGCAGTCATCATTCTAGTCAGATACAGTATCTTAACTGGCTTTAACATGGTCTGGTCAAATAAAATTGACGCTATTTAAATAGCAAACAAAACCAGTTGCGGTCGTAAATGGTTTTTGGACATGTCTCATCACGCTTACGAAAATCGGGGTCAAGAGCCATTTGAGCGAATCTAGTTGAGCACCTGCCGAGCATAGACTCGAGTCAAATGAAAGTAAACGCCCACTACAGCCGAGACACTAATTGCCGATATAATGAAATCCTCGCGGTTTCACTTTTAGTCCGGAACTTTCTACGCTCTCTTTGCGGAAGGCACGTAGGCTGGGATTTAGGAAGGGTTGCGCAAAACTAGAATCGCTATTTGAATGATAATTCTCCTTGTTCAACACGTCGTTAATAGCGAACTCTGAATCATGATTTTCTATCTCATGAATTATTAAAGAGAATTCTGCCCGATCCACTCCGTCGCCTTCAAACACGTGAATAGTGTAGTATGTATAAAGCTAGCAATCAAACTATCGACCTATCTAACTTGAACATTTGTCGAACTTGTGGAATAACATAAAGGGCTTAAATTCTTCGTTGCCTTACAAAATCAGATATGTGTGCCAATCTTGTGTTTGTGCCTAAAAAGATGTTTCTGACGTGATCTCAATCGAGTATCGCGACGTGTGGGCACGCATTACCGTTAAAAGTAAAATACACGAAAAATGTCTACATAAAAACCGCTTGCAATGTTAATCCTTGTCATATTTATATATAACGTGATATCGTATACGTCATACATCTTGTTTCTCTGCACACGCAAATCGATATGGATGCAAATGAGTTTAATTGATTGCCGGCATCGATTTGAGACTGTAACTTAATTTTTATTCATTGGATGTAGAGTGCACGGCGTAAATAGGTAATAATTTAAATTTAATTAAGTATTTATCGATTTTCGACACTTCCACACGTATGCAAGGAGATTATAGTGATAGTAAACAGAATGTAATAGATAAATAACTCAAAGACGCAACAAAAATAACAAAGGCCGACACGAAAGTGTAACGTATCATTAGTTTCAACTATAACAAAGTGCAGACGGACAGGCATGCGAGTGAAAGTGAGTGATGGTATTTGGGAGCAGGTTGTGTGACGTCACTAATGCATCGTAGGTAGCGATCTAATCCATATCAGATCTTTGCCTGTATTGAATGATGTAAATAAACTATACGTCGTCATAGAAAAGTAATTTATCATATACCAAAGCGAAAGAAGAAACTTTCACTGAACAGACTCAAATATTTATTAATATTTCAATGGGTGTGCAAATTACACTTGAAATCATCACATTGACTAAACTCATTCGTAAGGCAGATTCCCCCGAGAAAAATGAATAAGAAACTATAGAGTTTCACTATAGTTTTAAACCCCTTGATCGACATTTTGAATATCAACTCGAATCTTATTATAAGCGTACACATTGTCCCATAGATTAAGTAGTCACATGTTCTTTGCGAAATGGAATATTAATAAACGTAGAAATGTTACCGCAGACTCTGCACATTTATGTCTTCATAATTTCAAACCAAGCAGGTACAAATTTTATAACACTATAACTGTATTATCGGCACCTTCATAAAGTAACATGATTGTTAACAATGTAACTAACAACATAGTGGTGTTCGGTGAACCAGAGTTTAATAGCATGTACATAAACTTTAATGGTGATTTAGCTAAAACGGGGTTATTACTTAAGTTACGAGAGGCTAAGTAGGTGAAATCTGCCCACAACTGCGACTTTCGCCTCAGAGACGCAGATATTGGGACCAGAAGCGGTTAAAGTGATGTAAATCATGATTTCCATGTTTGTCATCACTGTTATGTATCGTAACTGCGTTATGTCATGTTTAGTGATCTCGGTCAGTGGTTAGATGCGAATTGCTTTGATATTGAACTTGAAGTTAAGGTCGACGAACTCATCGAGTCTACTTAGTGTTGGGTAATGGAAAAACTTTCCATTTAAAAAAATGTTTTTTTTTTAGAAAAATAAATATTTTTCAGGAAAATAAATATTTTTTTGCACATTTTCCCAATATTTTTCTTTTAATTTTTACATATTTTACGTTGACACCAGTCGAAAGTTGAATTTACTGGACAAAAACGATGGAGCTATTAAAAAGGTTTTTTTCGCTGTTGTAAAATAATTTTAAATCTCGTTTTTCTCGCTAAATAAAACTTCAAACGATATTTCTAAGCGTAGAACATAATATGAGCCTTCGAGATTATATTTTTATAATTTTTCAAATTTTTCCAGTTTTTCGGGAATTTTTCCAGAAAAATTTCCATTACAAAAGTATTTGAAATTTTTCGGAAAATTACCCAATAAAAGTAGTTCTACTCGACCATACAACAAGTATTATACATAGAGAAGATATATTTTGTCCAGTATCCGAATGTACATTTATTATGAAAAATAATTGGACCGCACCTGTGATCTTTACAATGATTAAATTCGTCTGTACCATAGTTTTAAACACATTACAATCCATCAACATGTACTAAGAATGTTCTTTATGTTGTTCTTAAAATGTTACGTGCATTCGTCTTTAAATAAGACCCTTACAATAACCTAAGTTATACCAAGACCCTGTCTTCCCTTTTCAGTTACAGAAACAATTTTGTTGCTAACTGCTCTCATTAAATTGGACTTTGTTGAGGCTCACCACTACCTACTATCAATTGCACGTTAATTAAAATTCGCCATTCATAAGACAGAGGTACAGTCGATATAAAAACTGTCTCTAATTAAAGTGGGCGAGGCAGTATAGCCTGCTTCCCACGCTCAGCTCTCGACTGTACCGCTCGTCCTAATTTTGTTAAAGGAGTCTGTCCAGTAAGGCCATACATCATTGGTGACATGTTTAGTGCCTGATAAGTCGTAAAGAGGTGCGACTTTTCCCAGTTTGAAAATTTTACCGCATTTACTAATTTATACCTTAATTTAAAGACGTGTAACCCAAATAGAGACGTGTCTAAACAGGTAGGTTGCTATCCTGTTTAGGTTGAAATTTTAGTTCATTTTAACGTAACAAAGTTCCGCGTGTAGTGTTTACTTTACAAGATTAAACAATAACGATTTCTACGATCTGAGAAGACCGCGTAAAATGTATTTAACGACAAAGAAGATATATGTTCGAGACCCTCTGTACATGTTTAAACTTTAGCTACTGCTAAATAACTTAGTCAGTTAATAGCTAAACGCATTACAAATCTGTATACTTGTTTAGGCTTATGTTAACTGTGTGACAACTTAGTTTTCATATGTTGAGTTCACTAACCCCTGTTTCTGAGAAAGACAATAGATAGTAATGTTTTGTTTATCTTTAAATGCAATTGGTACTAGGAAATTGTTGCTGAGTTTCCGAATCCTAATTATGACACCTCGACCTCGTAGATACTTTTTCTTACGTAGTCTATTTAATTTCTCAGTTAATGGTTCCGAGCGATTTCCATCGATCGGTGATTTGTTTTACAATTTAAATTGATGAACTTACATACCAGTTTTAATGATCTTTTGTATTTCTCCATGACGTCAGTCAAAATACCATCTCTGTCCAAATTCCCTGGACTAAAGCCTATAACATTTCAAATTCGCGGCACAAGCTTTTTGAAGTCCAAGAGAGAGCACCCTCCATTGACACTTTTAACGTAATTAGCACTCACCACAAACAGAAAGGCGATCGCGAGCCGCATTTCGCAGTCTCTAACGAACTTTCACTGTAGACGCGTCCACGAGCATCGTGAGCACAACCACTGTCGATTACGGCTGGGCACCGACTGTTGAACTGCTCAACTTTCGCAATGCCACTGTCAAGGACTGGCTGCAATCATCGGATGCACTTGATTTTTTAATGATACGCCCTAAAAGAAAAGTTGTTGTTCACTTGCTTGTGACGCATCACAACCCACCGCCCGCTGGTTAATATGATTTCGGTGTACCTGTGAACCTAGCGGTAGCGGTTGTTCTGTCGATTTTGATTCTGATGTCATTATTTATAATTACTTTCTCATTTAATTATTTACCGGCAACTCTCAAATAAAAGGGCCTGTTCTCGAATGTTTAACTATATTTCACTGGTGTCTTTTAATTTCTTTACAAGTATTTAAGTACTAACCCATTGTAATTGTTTATGTTTGCAGAGATCATTTATTCTGATCGCAGAGTTTGCGTTAAGGAATCTGCTTCCAGTCATCAATCATTATAATTTCAGTTATTTCACGCTATTAATTCACGAGAGCACCGCGAGTCGCGTTACATTGCAAATTCACACGATAGAAAAATTAGGTTCCGCTTGCTAGCAAGAAAGAGTGTGTGCAATTGAGTAGGTCAGTCGAGTAATCGTTTGCCAGCCGCCGTCTGCGACCGTTCCTTTCTTGCGCGCGGTAGCTCGTACTCGTTAGAAGGGGCAGGGTAACATGCGCGTGCGCCGGACCGTTATCCCGCGACGATATCTTGAATGAAGATGGCGTTTTCTCCCTCACCAAAACAATGGCGCCCGCACTAATTGACCTGCAACTGCCACTTGAAAATCGAAAGGCATTATTATAATTATTGGTACTTGTTTTATGTTTAATTAATAGGAAGTAAAGAAGTTATTATCTAAACAGGCACCACATATTTGTTTCTTTCATTATCTGAAGTAGTTGTATTGTAATAATATGTTACTTCAATCATTAAAACAATATTACTTCGTCGTTTGATGTCTTCTGGATTTCATCTTAAATTTATGGAAACAAATACAGTAGTGTAAACACACGTACAATACCGTACACAATACCACCGCAACTTAACTAAGCAAAGTCATCTTACAAAGCAGCAACATCTATTTGCATATTTTCCAAGCCATTAGTGATTTTAATATTCTTGCAAACTATGCAAACGATGGGTCTATGTGCAAAATTCTTAGTGCATATTTCACACATAGAATCCTACTTGTTAACTGAATCCAGATTTTCCTCGTTTCTACCAGAAACTCTACTAGAAAGTCCGAGTGAAACTTGCAATCGGCTGATAAAATATTAACTCGATGCACTTTCCATTTCTCAACTTGACTTTCTCGAGGATTTTAACGACTTTCTGTAGAAGCTCTAAAAGGACAATGAGATAATCTTGTAGCGTAAACATCTTACGTAATTCAACGAAAGGTGTCAGTGAAATTTTTCTTAGCTAATCACGTACATAATATTGACTTTTAAAGTACTCTTATAGTCAATACCGCTAACATGACATCCTAGGCCCTAGGACCTAGGGGTTTGGCGCTTGACTTGGATAATGCGAAACCATAATAGGTACAAGGAAACTGTCTTAAGAACTATTCAGTCTTTTTTGGTGCAGACAATTTTCGTACAGTAAATTTTTTGGTCAGGTGCGAATTATTCAAAAATGTAATAATATTAATTATTATTATTACATACAGATAGGGAGTTACACTAAGACCCGTTACACATGGCGACCTTTAGCAGAGAAGTGCGATTGCATCGCTACACTTGCGATAGTTATAGGCGATTGTATCGATGCAATCTCGCTTTTGTATCGATGCAATCGCGCGTCTTATTACACTGTAACAATAAGGCACATATTTGTTTGAAAGACAGCTGCTAATCGACGGCCTACGAAGCGCGAACTTTGGACATAGTAAAGCAATATAGCGTTACTAACTTAGTGACTTTGTCACAAGATTTTAAAAGTTAAAGACAATAGAAAACCAATTCGAAAGATGTTTGGGCATCTGATGTATCACGACAGTTTTTTTTTTAGAAAGAAAGAGAGATACGACGACTACAGGCGACGGATACAGATACGGCGCCGGGGCGTGTCAACACCCTGACGCCCTCTAGCAGGCACGCGATCAAAATAGAATACTTACAGTTATGTTTTCCCTTGTAATCGGAAATTTGGGTGAATATGGCGCAATTATGCTGTTGTGAAGCAATAGCCCGTTTAGTTGGCTCGCGCTGCGAGTGGCACAGGCGCTTTGGAGATTTGGCGAACAGCGCTCGGCGCCCCCTAAGCAGGGCTCCGTCAGTCGCTCAAGGTTACGCGATAAGTGCCTACCGCTGAGTGTACCGACGTCGGCACAAGCGCTCATACAAGACTTTCATTGATGAAATGCGGCTCCGCACTGTCTACGGCGGGCAATATTATTTTCACCTCTCTGAACGCGTGCTTAAGTTCCATTTTCCTCGTAGTGAGCGCCTGGTGTCATTAGTCAGGTTTAGTAGGTTATTATAAAGCAGGTAGGTATTTTCGATTTTGGACGAGAGTGATGTGTCTGTTACGTAGTAACTATTAAGTAATCTGTGCCCTGTAGCCTTGAGTCCGTGTGCCATCACACCCTACGAAAAGTGTTGTGTCAAATCAGGAAATCAAACTTGGTAGGCGATTGCTCCACCGACAAGAGCCCAGCTCTTAAATATGAAAAAGAAGAATGTCGACTATTAAAAGCAAATATATAATATAGTAATGTCTTAAGATTCTACACTCCTAATATACAGGTAATATTTTGCAAAAGTAACATACATTGACGTGCGTACTCTTTGTGCAAAGAGACAGTTACCAAGTTGGAATTTTCTTGTCAGGAATTTCTTGCTTTAGAACGTTCATTGATAGGTATCTCACTATAGGTGGCACTAAAAGGGCTTGTTGTGACAGGCATGTCTTTAAAGAGCCATCTTGTTGAGATGTGGGACACGCCGTACCGCTTTATTCTTGAATGCCTGTTATTGTGCTCCGGGTAGTGTATTTAGTTCCAATGTTAAATATTTCGCTGTGGAATACTCAAGTGAGGTTTGTAATCTTCAATAAAAAACAAGTTCCATTTTTGTAAAAAAATATATTAAATTTGTTTTAATGACTACTTTTTTTACCTAGCACGGTTCTTAACTTCTTCCAAAAATTTTCTGTATGGTATTCATTCCATGTTAAATATATTTTAGTTTTCAGTAAATATTTAAGTGTTGGGGTCAAATATTTATTGTCTACGTCGCCTATTCTGACTAGTACTAAAGGGTCATATGTAGTGCCGTCTTCAAGGAATAACCGGTGATATTCCGCAAGCTGAGTCTCCCAACGACACCACTGCGATTTGGCAAAATTATTACTAATCACTAACAAAATATATTTACTCTCATTTATACAACTTACTATTGCTTCTGATATAAATGAACCTACTTCAAAATCCCTCTCCGACACACAAAGTTTCAAATAAGGCGGGTTCGTTTCCAACTGCGTTATCATTTCTAAAATAAAGTCTCTATCATCAAAGCAATAAGAAACAAATGCATCATATTTGTACCCTTTATTTAAATTATTGTCCGCCTTTAAAGATTTCCTAATAAATGTTCTACCCAATGCCATCTTGGCTAGGAATAACCAATATCTTATGTAAATCCTGTATTTGTAGACAATTACTACAACAACTAACACTGCAATAATTAAAATCAGTGATGGTATTGTCCAAACTAGTAACATTATTTTCGAGATTTTATGATATACCGGACAATGCATAGATTTAACTGATGACAAATATTGCGACACCTTTCGATCCTCCCAAATATCAGGACTACTGCACTGGAAGTTGGAGGACTCGAAGAATGTTTTCACAGCTGTGGAACCATTCACTTGCAGCCACAGGTACGTCGTATACATAGAGATGCAGTCGCAAACAAACACGTTGGCCATTAAGTCGATTATTGCTGAAGAATTTTCGTTAGATTCCAATATGTAACTAATGTCTTGAATCATACTGATAGAAAAATGTGAGATTTTATTGTTAGTCAGCAGAAGTTGTCGTGGCGCTACTCCTGCGTCTAAAAATAAAGGGTTCCACCACGCTATGAATAGATTTTCGCTCAAGTCAAGAATTTCAAGAAATTTTAAAGGTTTTAAAGTTTCGGCAGTGATATAGTAAAGTTGATTGTTCTTGAGGATCAATTTCGTCAAACTAGGCATCATTTCGAAAATATTATCGTCGTCATTAAACTTTTTGATGCCACAATTTTGTAAACTCAGGGATTTCAGTTCAGTTAATCCCTCAAACTGCACACTTGTAATGTTTTGATTCACACTCAGAGGATTATTTGCTAAATTGAGCACTTCTAAATGTTTTGTGGGTTTAAATGTTCCAGGCCCAATGTAAAATATAGTGCCATTTTCTAAGTTGATTATGCGTATTTTCTCCAACCCTCTAAAGGTGTAATTGTAGATGGACTTGATCCGATTGAAAGCCAAATTTAGGTATCTCAGCCCACTTGACCCAATGAGTGTGTCTCTATCAATTTCGTAATAAACTGGAGTCACCAGATTTCCTTTATTGTTGGACATATCTAAACATAGGAGTTGAGATGACAAATGATTACTGTGTATGCCTGGTAAATTATTTCCTCCGAGGAGCAATACCTTCAGATTTGGAAATTTTATGGGTTCAAAGGCATTCGGCCCAGTAGTCATTGCCATAACTTTTCTTAAATCTAACAATTCTATGTTCACCATCGGAGGGAATGCATCGTCATCGATGACTTCGAATTGGTTTTGTGCTAAACTCAATCTCTTTATGGTAGTATTTGCTATGATTTCTAGCAAGTGTCTGGGGGGTTGTTTCCTGAAACCCATTCCGGACAAATCAAGACTCTTCAAACTTATGTTGTGTGCCATCATTTCAATTAAGAAATTTCCGATAAGGCTTGAATTCAAATCGTTTTCGCCGACGTGCAAAACCTCCAAATTCTTGAGAGGTAAAAAACTGAGTGGATGAATATCATCCAATCGGCACAAGTTTATGTAGAGCTTTGTTAAATTCGTTCCTCTCATCGGTGAGAAGGTATATTTTTTTATGGCTGAGAATGTGTTTTCAGCTAAATTAAGAGCTCTTAACGACGGCAACAATATCGGATGGAAAGCAAAAGTTAACTGATCGAGATCAGTGAATCCATTGCCGATCAAAGTTAAGCTCCGAAGGTTTACTAAGCCTTCAAATGTGTTGTTATCGATGAACTGTAGAGCTGTGTTATACGATAATGACAGTTGTTCTAATTTGGTCAAATACCGAAAAGATCCAGGTTCTATGTATGTCAGGCGATGGTTTGCTTCTAAATCTAAATGCCTGAGATTTACGTATCTGACGAGTTCTCCTATGAGTATTCTTTCGATAACTGTTGTCCGTACTCTTAATACGCTGCTATGGTTTCTAAGCTGAAAAGTGAATGATATGTTGTTTAATCACCATTGCATAAACACATCACGCTTTAAACAAGGTGATGGAAAAATTTCCTTAAAATTTGCATTATTGTTTTAAGATGTATAGGGTAAAGAAGACGTGTAGGCTTAGAGCAATATAACTACACGATCATAATTATTATCACTGACAAAGCAACCTGTTTAGATTTTGATAACATCAGCTTTTGTTTTGATGCGTAAATTACAGCAGGAAATTCCATCTTTAAACAAAGTTTTATCTATTATATTTCAAGAGTAATTAATTAAATAGGTCATTGACCGCAAGCTGTTAATTCTGCATTGCGTATGAGTATGGCTGCACAAATTGAACCATAACACAATACAAACTATGGACATGTTCTGATTGTCGTACTGATTGTTTCATAATACCCAAACGTAAGTGTTTTACTACTATAATTAGGTGGGTTCTAAACTGTATTTTAATCTAATATGAAAGTAATTACAAGTACTCGTATACATGGCATTAAATAAAGGAATTAATGTAATAAACATGCTTGATATAAAAAAAAAAGATTTCGTTATTTTATGGTGTCTGAAATTGGTGATAATTTTAGGAAACATAAAAGCGTGTGAAACTTAATAACAGCGATTATTTGACGACCTCGGTGACTCATCCCAAAATTATTATTAATTTCAGAAACCGAAACCTACCTGAGGGAACTTCTTGCATTCGTAACTTCCAAAACAAACAATAATATCATATTCCTCGTTGCTCCTGCACCAACATCCAGAATACTTGTCGTTTTCCAGCTGTACGGGGAGTTCGACATCGGCCCGTGGGGTGGCTTGCGCGTTGTTTATCATCTCCTGGCAATCATAGCTGCCTCGGCCATGTTTAGTCCACAGAAGAAGCCATAGAAGCACAATTATCATGTCTTAGGATGATCACCTGGAAACTATGAACAAAGATTTTAATATTCCAATTTGAAGACGCCTTCGGCGACTAGAAGGTTTTTGATAGCAGTAGAGCTCTTTGTCAAATAGTTCGTCCAGTGAAGTACTGCCAGCCACCTTAGATACCTATTTCAGTAGCCTAGCGACTAACATGCTGCGTTTCGGTTTTGAAGGGTATAAGGGTGCTAGTGAAATTACAGACACATGCGACTTGTCAACTTTGTCTCAAGGTGACGGACACATTGGCAGTGCACCTCAGATCTTTCGATTTAAAGCTCTGAGTGATACCGCAAGTGCTAGGGACAGG